ATCCTCCAAAGTCAAACCAAACATGTAAAAGCCTAAAAGCAATGAAAACCAAACATATGGCTTTTACGTAGAAGAAAAACTCCTGTATTAACACTGAAGAGGCCACTACTTCGTCTATAATTATAATAATCAATATGTGATAACCCTCTTTTACGAACTTAATTTTATTTTCATGAATATGTATGAAAATTTTCATTTATCCAAAGATCAAACAATTACAACAATCAATACATGATAATCCTCTTTCACAAACTCAATTTATTTCCGTGAATATCAAACATTTGTATTTCACCCCAAGAGCAAACAACTAGCATAACAGTAAAGATACAAGCATCATGAAACTATCAGAGAAATCTTAAATTCTTGGAGCAAATAGATTTCAAAAGCTACCAGGGTTATAGTTAGATTTGTAATTCCTTCGACAGAAAAACCGAGCTATCACTAAGAACACCCATCACACCAATTTCATTTGCCCTGAGCTCAAACAACTATAGTAGTAGAAAGAAATACAAGCATCATGATCAAATCAGCAAATATGGGATTCTTTAAAACATCCAACTAAGAACTATAGGCTTCATAACCGAAAATTAAACAGACTTATCTAAAGATTCATGACATACAAGCATATCATGAATAGCCAGCTAAATCTGGAATTCTTGAAAGAAATAGAATCCAAGAACCAGCAACTTCATAGTTACGACAATAGTACAGCATAAACAAGAACCGATCCATTTCCATGATTATCTATCAAACAATTTCATCTATCTGATATATATAGAAAGAGAGAGAGAGAAAAAAAAAAAACTAGAGTCCATCAGTCGAAATTAACCAGCTAAATTCGAAGTTGTTGAGCGAAACTACAATCTAAAAAACCATGGACTTCACAAGCAGAGAAAACTGTAGCTAATCCGGATAAAGAATCATCACAATAATACCTGCAATATCGAGCAACGAGAATGAGTCCATCAGTCGAGAATCCCGTGCACTTGTCCAGCTTGAATGACTGAAGCATGCGCCCTCTTCCCCCGACCAAAATCCCGAGATCCGCATCCGTCACAATCATCCTCCGAAAGTGTATTGATTTCAAGCACGAAAACGTATCGGAAATCTCGTTAACCCAAGGCTCCGCATAGCCTCCCCAGTCATCGGGAATGATGTTGTTGAACATCGAAGCTCTAGGTTTCCCCTTAAGCTTCAGCGATTCCAAGCGCGGGAATCTTCGCCGGAGCCGATCCGGAGTTGTAGAGTAGCAGAGGGCGATGGTTATGTGCTTGCGTGTGATGGAGTCGATCTGATGCCACTTCTTGCCAGACGCGGGAGGATTGACTCGCGGTCGTGAGGATCGTCACGCTAGTTCATCACGCACTCGCAGCGCGACGTCGGCGAACGCCGCCGCCGCCGCCGCGCGCCGCCGCCGAAGCCAGAGCGATTTGTTGAGGTTTCGCGTTTCCATGGCGGCGGGATCGGATGGGATCGAGACAGCGCGCTTATGTTCTCGGGAGATTTGGCGGCCGATTACTGTGAGGAGACATTTGAGCCCTAATTTTCGCTGGGAGATTTGTTAGGCTAAAAAGACGATGATGAGCTGAGATTTTGACAGAAGCGGTGAATATATATAAATATATAAATACGAGCAACAATAAAATAAATCAAAACGGGATAGGGTAGCCAATTGATTAATTATTAATAAGGCTGTCATCTTTACTGTTTAATAAATGATTAACGTTTGTTTAACAGGTGCACTCTCTTTGTCGAGTTGCGGTCACCACCGGAGTTACCGCCAAGTCTTTTGAGGGGGGGTGGGGGGGGGGAATTAATAATAATAATCAATATGAAAGCACGCAGAGTTAATGCGATCAACAAAATAAAATAACTACTAAACCCGTACAATTCACTATACATACGTATCATCATAATAACAATCATTAATTTTAAAATTAACAGCGGACATACACAGCATTCTGCTTCCTCGTTATCTAAAGTGGGTCCTGTGTGCGATTTTTTTGTGTTTCTTTTTGTTTTTATATGGCAAGAACTTTGCTACCGGAGAACAAATAAATTAAATAAAAAGGAACTTAAACTTTTTCTGTCCAAGTATTCCTATATTTTGATTTTGATACGTGTTCCTATTCTGTTTTAAATAGAGGACAACTGTGGAATAATTGACCTCTTATTTTGATGTTTCTTTCTCTAACTGCCTTCAAGCCACCCGCAATTAATGTACGGGTAAAGAATAATAGTTTTTGGTATTCTAGATTGAATTTGTTTGTCCTATTCCATCAAAAGAGCTCAGCTCATTGCAGCGTTCAAGTCAAAATTTAACATGATCTCAGTTCACACAAGTCGTAAACTTGCATTTCAGTATCATATGCTCAAAGTAGCAAGAAAAGGAAAAAAAAGAACTGGCATAAATACGGTAACTTTATTAGTTGCTGGATCTTAAAAAAAAAGAATTAAGACTTTTTAATCAAACGCAAAGCATTAAGGGCATCTCCAACAGCTTCTCTAAAATTTTCTTCAAAATGGTGAAGCAAAAATCATATTCTTCAAATTATTTTTACACCAACTCCAACAGCTTCCTCATTTTGAAGAATCTATTTTTTCCTCCAAAAATTTAGAGAATGTTGCAGATTTGGGGAAGCTTCCCCGTTTTTTCTCCTCCATTCCTATTTTGGGGAATGAGATGGGGAATCTGTTGGACCAAAAACCTAACTAAATTCTTCAAAAGTGGAAAATGGGGAAGCTGTTGGAGATGCTATAAGAGCATCTGTTTTTGGTCCAACTGATTCCCCATCTCATTCCCCAAAATAAGGATGGAGGAGAAAAAATGGAAAAGTTTTTCCAAATCTGTAGCATTCTCCAAATTTTTGGAGAAAAAAGGGATTCTTCAAAATGGGGAATCTGTTGGAGTTAGTGTAAAAATAATTTGAAGAATATGACTTTTACTTCCCCATTTTGGAGAAAATTTTAGAGAAACTGTTGGAGATGCCCTAACAAGAGTAATGATTTAGCTCTACACTTTGATCCCGTCTTTTGACGTCCAAAAATCATTGCAAAATGAGCATACAGGAGAAAGCCAACACGAAATAAACTTTAAAAAAATAATAATATTCTTTTTAGGATTTATTTCAGAAGATCCCATTAACTTTATAATAGTTGCTTATATAAAAAAGAACAATTATGGTGAAAATAGCAATCCCAATAATTTTTTGTCAGATGGGTACATATTGTCACCAACTGCTTCTTCTCTCGCTAAGTTAGTGCTCGCATAAGCACCGCAACAATCGAGCTCTAGATGTTCTTGTATCTTCTTGTATATTCTTGTAAATGAGATGTTTGTATAGAATTTTCTAGAGAATCAATATTGGCCGTTGGAAGTAATGATTCTTTAGAAGGAAAATCTAGAACATTCATGTGAAGAGAACCTCCCCTATAAAAGAGGCTAAGGAAAGCTCATTTGTAACCAAGCAAGCTTTGAGTAATAAATTTCTCAAGTTCCTCCTAAATTTCTCTTGCTTTCTTGAGTACTCAATTCGTTAGGCTGGACTTAGATAGTGAGCCAAGAGTGAGCTAAGTGCCGCACTAAAAGGCTAATTTGTGTGCCTAAACAAAGCGCCCGTGATAGTTGGTATCGAAGCGGATTCGATTCGTGGGAGATGGCTAGATTGGACATGATCAATGAGAAAATGTGGCTAGGGTCGACACCAACATAGAGAAGACCCCGACCTAGAAGGGACGTACCTGTGAGGTGCTAACGATGGTGGAGGCACGGATGGGTAAGGTGGAATTCAGTGTGGCTGATTTGAGGGATTAGCTTGAAGCTATAGATGAACACATCGGGAAGCTTGCGTCCACAGGGGATGAACAGGGTTACTTGAGCCACTACCTATTCCGGAGCGACCATGGTGTAGGCGTCAAAAATTGCCTATAAGTTCTCGAATGCAGCTTCGAGGCGAAAAGAAGACGAAGAACGTCGTTATCTAAGTCAGAAAGCATCATCTGATATAAAAAACGAAGCAATGAAGCGACGAAATGACGAAGCGACGAAGCAAGCGAGACGACAAAACAACAGAACGAGACACACTTAAGTGTCTCAAAATCTGAGACACTCAGAGGTGTCTCGAATTCCGAGACACCATAGTGTGTCTCGCAATTCGAGACACCAAAGGGTGTCTCATACAGTGAACTCTCAAAATACATTTTTCAATAATTTCTCAGGATTCGTACAGTCCACTGGCTTCCTAACTGCTTTTGAAACATCCTCAAACATGGGAAAGTCATTACTAACTGTAGATACATCCAAATTATGAATTCTTATCCTCAAAAATGGCGTCTGAAGCCTATAAATACCCCCCATGCACTTATGATGGGTGCTGATGGTGGAGGCGAGGTGCTGACTTTTGAGAACAGATACCCACGGATTTCAGATAGAAAAGGAGAGATCTTAGCGAACTTCGTGCATAAAGAGGAAGATGTTAGACCCTAGAGGGGGGTGATTAGGGTCTTATGCTAATCTAATCCTGATTAACTTCCAATTAAAATTATGTTGATCAATTTATTCTTGCAAGAGATAGATATGAATAAGAACGATAAGAAAGAGCACAAAAGAAATATACGTTAAGCAAACACAAACACAAGATATGTTTACGAGGTTCGGTCCCCACGACCTACGTCCCCGCTCCTCACCTCGAGGAGATCTCCACTATCACAATCCGGTTTGGAAACTGAAACTTTTACACACTCGGTTTACAAGCTTACCGAAAACTCTCACACAACAAACACTATGCAATCACACTTTACACACTAAGTGTAGGAACCTAGCTCGTGTCCTCCTCCTCAAGTGCTCAGATGCAACCTCTCCCTAAGTTCGTCAACCGACACCACTCCTATTGGATTCGACCCCGTCTCTCGCCTCACTTTTCTCTCGATGTACAAGTGTATTACAAGTGATACTCACAAATAAAGATAAATACGGTGATTTGTTCTTAACAATAAATGAGAACACAAATGAAGCTCACACTCACTAAATCACACCCCACAACCCACACTATATAGTATGAAGATATTAAGCTTAATATGTGTGTGTGATAACAGTGAATGAAAATAATACAACTCAATAAATATAGCTAAATAAATGAAAATGAAATAGTAAGCTATATAAGGAAGAGTTTTAGAAAGCTTCTCAATAAACAAGAAGAGTAGTAGATGATGATTCCAATAGGAATTGAAAGCCACTTCTTGTTGTAGAAAACTTCTCTTGAAGTAGATTAACGAAAATTAGCTTAACAGCTCTTTAAACGCATCTTAAACCTTTGTTAAAACTTCTTGTAAAAATAAAACTCTTGGTTTTTCTTAGTTCTGAAATAGAAGAGCAATGGTGTATTTATACCCACTCAAGAACTCAGCAAAAACCAACTTGAAATGACCAAAAAGCCCCCAGAGAATCAAATCAGAAACTAGCCGTTGGAATCAAATCATGAGTTCGGCGGTCGACCGTGGATCTGAGTTTAGAAATTAAAAGCTGGCGGTCGACCGCGAAAGTCTCTGGATGGTTTCATGGTCGACCGTCACGGTCGACCGCGAGCACATAAAATCCAGACTTTGAAAATTTGTTCATGGCGGTCAACCGTGACGGTCGACCGCAAACTGACACAGTCTGAAAACCTGTTTTTGGCCGATTTTGAAAATACTTTAAAAATAGCTAATCAATTCCAAAAATAATAAAACTTTGGGAAAAGTTTCTAAATGATAAAATGAACATGTTAGAAAAGGAATTTTTAAAAAAATAATTTTCGTTTGTAAAAACACACTGTTTTTTAAAAGTGTTTGTAAAACCTGTATTTTACGAATATGCAAATTTTGATATGACTTATAAACATGTATATATATATCATGCATATATTATATATATATAATAAAGTATGAATGAGCTGTAAATATGAAATAAAAGATATTGTAACAACGTTTGATGAAAAATCATTTATATGATAGAAAACGTCAAAAAATGGTGTTAAGTATACATATATCGAGCTTAAATATAAACATACAATATATGTAAGTAAACTACTCTTATACCTAGGTAACACAACACATATGAACTTGAATATTTAACGCTTGATTGTCGTGTGTTGAAATACCTGTAAAGAGAATCATAAAAACAAAACTAGAGAATATATTAGCGATAAATTGTTTGACAAATCATCATCAAAACTATAGGGTCAACAGAAGATTTCGAGAGATCTACAGGCCTTCACTCTTTTCCTTGAGATCAAACATCGCTTTGATCTCGAGAAAAGTACTTTATCTCACCTCGCTGAGATATTTACTTTTGTTCTTGTTTCCCAGTTGAAAGTAGAACACCGAGCCTTCTTCACGATCAACCCAAATCTGTGAATCGATCGTCCACGGACTAACGCGTCCTCGAAATAAGCAAAGATCCCACGCAAGCAACGACCGATAAACAATTTTTGCGTGTGTTTCTTAGAAGTCCTATGTTTATTTCTTTAGTAGTGAGAAGTCTTATAAAAAAGTTCACTCCATCTAGTCTATTGGAAGTCGATAAACGATTGTAAATGGATTCTACAATAAAACT